TTTGTATGCATTTCGATGGCATTTCTAGCGAGAAGTATGCGTTATATTTTCATAATCTTCTATCAGAGAATGTAGAAGACCTTCCGTTTATTAGTTTCTAGTGAAGCAGTTGCAAGGCAATGTAAATGAACGGGCCAAAATAAAATGTAGTATTGTCACGATTTTGGGAAGAAAGTGTGAGAATACCACGTTCCACAATGTAGCTATTACACGTTTTGCATCGTCTCTCTCTCCATCAATTTACTGTACGCTGCTAAAAGGGCAAAATAAAAATAACAGAAATAAAAGTTTCTCAATTAGATTTGTGTCATCATATTTACGTCAGCGAGAGGCAGGCAATGTTAAAACTTACTTAACTGCTGCGCGATAACCTTGCCTGCAGTGTGGCATCTTTAACTGAAGTGCATTATGGGACGTAGCTGCTGATCCATTCATCTCCCCGGTTCTAGCCTTCTGCTTCCCGTCCCTCCCTCTGTGGGTGACAGGTGTTCGGCTGGTGAGACTGAAACGCCCCCAGCACGCGCCCACCTGCTGCTAACACCACCCAATCGATCTGACCCCCTGCACCATCCTTCCCCTGCCATTTGGAGCAGGTTTGAACTCCTTCGTCACGCTCTTCGGGGGCTCTGTGTTCGTGACGCGGCCCTCCACAGATGTGATTAGAGCTGTTCTGACTCTGGGGGTCGCTGACTTAGAGAGTGATTAAGGGCCACAGGAAACATCCTGGGGAGGGAAATATTAATCATCATGATCAATCATGATGATTAATCATGACAGAAGCCAATATCTTTAACTAATGTTGTATTGGTGTTGATGGTCCAAACACCATGTGGGCTGATGGTTCATGTTCCTCCACAGAGAGGACCAGGAGATCTCAGAGGTTCCCACAGGACACTCTGACCTGAGGAGAATGAAGCAGGAGGAGCTGGCTGGGTGTCTGCAGAGCAGTAAGAGGATTTCTCTACAGACTCACCATGCTGATAAATGAGACCTTCACTAATGTCTCAAGAGATGGACAGAATATATTCATAGTCATTCTCTGAGAAAAGGACATGTTGAAATATATTCTGTGACTCATTGATCTTCTTTGTTGTCTTCATTCAGGACTTCCTGCTGCAGTTTGTCAGCGTGAACTCAAATCCAACCTGAAGAAGAAGTTCCAGTGTGTGTTTGAGGGGATCGCTAATGCAGGAAACCCAACCCTTCTGAATGAGATCTACACAGAGCTCTACATCACAGAGGGAGGGACTGCAGAGGTCAATGAAGAACATGAGGTCAGACAGATTGAAACAACATCCAGGAAACCAGGCAGACCAGAAACAACCATCAGACAAGAAAACGTCTTCAAAGATCTCAGCTGGAGGAGAGGAACCAATCAGAACAGTGATGACTAAGGGAGTGGATGGCATTGGGAAAACAGTCTTAACACAGAAGTTCACTCTGGACTGGGCTGAAGACAAAGACCACCAGGACATACAGTTCACATTTCCATTCACCTTCAGAGAGCTGAATGTGCTGAGAGAGAAGGAGTACAGCTTGGTGGGACTTGTTCATCACTTCTTCAGTGAAACCAGAGCAGCAGGAATCTGCAGGTTTGAGAAGTTCCAGGTTGTGTTCATCTTTGACGGTCTGGATGAGTGTCGACTTCCTCTGGACTTCCACAACAATGAGATCCTGACTGATGTCACAGAGTCGGCCTCAGTGGATGTGCTCCTCACAAACCTCATCAGGGGGAAGCTGCTTCCCTCTGCTCGCCTCCACACGATAACCACACGACCTGCAGCAGCCAATCAGATCCCTCCTGAGTGCGTTGGCATGGTGACAGAGGTCAGAGGGTTCACTGACCCCCAGAGGGAGGAGTACTTCAGGAAGAGGTTCAGAGATGAGGAGCAGGCCAGAAGGATCATCTCTCACATCAAGACCTCCCGAAGCCTCCACATCATGTGCCACATCCCAGTCTTCTGCTGGATCACTGCTACAGTTCTGGAGGAGATGAAGACCAGAGAGGGAGGAGAGCAGCCCAAGACCCTGACTGAGATGTAAATCCATTTCCTGGTGGTTCATTCCAAAGTGAAGAAGGTCAAGTACGATGGAGGAGCTGAGACGGATCCACACTGGAGTCCAGAGAGCAGGAACACGATCGAGTCTCTGGGAAAACTGGCCTTTGATCAGCTGCAGAAAGGCAACCTGATCTTCTATGAATCCGACCTGACAGAGTATGCTATGCGTCTGCTAAATGACCTGTAATGTAATGTAATGTAATGTAAAGTATGGCATCGATATCAGAGCAGCCTCAGTGTACTCAGGAGTGTTCACTCAGATCTTTAGAGAGGAGAGAGGACTGTACCAGGACAAGGTGTTCTGCTTTGTCCATTTGAGTGTTCAGGAGTTTCTGGCTGCTCTTAATGTCCATCTGACCTTCATCAGCTCTGGTGTCAATCTGCTGTGAGAAGAACAAACAATCTCCCTGTCGTCTAAAGTCTCTAAAGACAAACCTGAACCAAAAGTGCCAGAGTGCTGTGGACAAGGCCTTACAGAGTCCTAATGGACACCTGGACTTGTTCCTCCGCTTCCTCCTGGGTCTTTCCCTGGAGACCAATTAGACTCTCCAACGAGGTCTGCTGACACAAACAGGAAGTCACTCACAGACCAATCAGAGAACAGTCCAGTACATCAAGGAGAAGATGAGCGTGGATGTGTCTCCAGAGAAAAGCATCAATCTGTTCTACTGTCTGAATGAACTGAATGATGTTTCTCTAGTGGAGGAGATCCAATGGTTCCTTAGATCAGGACTTCTCTCCACAGAAGAACTGTCTCCTGCTCAGTGGTCAGCTCCGGTCTTCATCTTACTGTCATCGGAAAAAGATCTAGAGTTGTTTGACCTGAAGAAATAGGAAGAGGAGGCTCTTCTGAGGCTGCTGCCAGTGGTCAAAGCCTCCAACAACAAGTACAGAGAGAGTTAGATTCATACATCCATCCATCCATTGTCAAACCGCTTATCCTGCACACAGGGTCGCGGGGGGGCTGGAGTCCATCCCAGCCAACTTCGGGCGATAGACAGGGTTCATCCTGGACTGGTCGCCAGCCAATCACAGGGCTAGATTCATACATCAGAACTTAAATATGCTGCCATATTTTTCCTTCTCCCCCCCCCCCGTCACAGTACATTTCTGACTTTCAAAAGATTCTTTCTGCTTGCATGACTTTAATCAAATTTGTATTTTCCGACTATTTCCATAAAAATGTTTATTTTCAATATAATGTTCCAATTGAAATGTTTGACATTATAGAGTTAGTAGTAATGTTATCAGATTGTTGATGTACATTAGTGGGTGTTTAGTTGTGACAGGAAACCAGTCAGTAACCATGTTAATGTGATTCTTTTGTGTGTTTGCAGGCTGTCAGGCTGGTTTGTGGGCTCTTAACTACTCAAACAACACTTGGATGTTTAGATGCTGGTCATCTGCCTCCAGTGTGTGTTTGTTCCTTTAGTCCAGACATTATTATTAAGAGACAAACAGTCAGAGAAACAATTTGTTAAAAGCGCCTTTTGTTAAAAACTCCCGGGCGACGCTGACGACAGCTCAGGACGTTTTGTCACAGTACCGTGGATGTAAATAAAGACACCGAGTGGACATTAATTGAATCCTGACCTGACAGTCTCCAGTTTTACAGCAGGAATGTTTGGTGTTTTAAAGGAGTTCAGCTCCACCTGCTTTTGGTGCTTTGCACTGAGAGCCACTTCCCCGGATGATAAGAGTGGACTTGTTGAAACTAGAGGTGACAGTCGGCCACAGACGCTCAGTGAAGAACCAACAGCTGATGGTGGACCTGGAATTAGTATCAACTATATCGTAGAAATGAACAGAACATACGATGCTGTGTGTGTGCGTGTGTTGAAGGTTCATAGCAAAACAACAGAAGTAACAGAACATAAACTCACTGGATATCAGTATACTCGCGTGTTCTTATTACATCCCCACGTGAGTAGTTTCCAGACTTTACTTAAGTAGAAATTTTGGGTATCTATACTTTACTGTAGTATTTATTTTTCAGACGACTTTTTACTTCTACTCCTTACATTTTCACGCAAATATCTGTACTTTCTACTCCTTAAATTTTAAAAACAGCCTCGTTACTTCCGGCTTGTCGTAGTTCAAAAACACACAAACACAAAAACCCATCTAGATAAACGGCGCTATGCGGACAGTGAATGTGATTGTGTTTGGATGAGAATAGAAACATTTAGCATCCAGACACCCGGTTGGTTTTCTCCGCGATGCGCCTGCAGATCGGAGCGACACCGGGTGGGAAAAGTGGTCTTTGGAAAGTTGGTATTTAGCGACATGGACCCTCCTCCTCTTCCTCCTCCTCTTCCTCACGCAGATTTGTCCTAATGTTTTTTCTAACTTTATTGAGAGTCTGGCACAACTCAGCGACTTGCAAGTAGTGCAGCGTATTAAATAAAGTGATGTGTGTCTTAATGCGGCTTTGGAAATGAACACAAAGGGATTCTGTATTTGCTCATGAAGCCTGAACATTCTGGTTATTTTGATAACCGACCGCTGCCAGTTCAGTAATTCTCATCATTATAAACAGGGGTGAGCCCCCCACCCCGTAAAAAGTCAGCCCCCCCCTTCATGACGTAGTGAACCTGGGGGAGACACCGCAGTCTACCGAATCAATGCAAACAACGTGTGTGAGACTCGTGTCACTGTAAAATGGGTTGTGGTTTTATCTGTTTTAAGTCAGATACATTTGTTGTTTTCTTGTGTCTCTGAATGTCGCCATGTTTCCACCATCCCAACGGCAGGTCACGTGACCTGGAGGCGCCTTCTGATCACATGGTAACGGACTGACATGTTGTGTCAGCGAGGTTACGCATTAACAGTTTGTCCGTAATGGAATTTCTTACATTTACTTTTATACTTTAAGTAGTTTTGAAACCAGTACTTTTATACTTTTACTTAAGTAAAAAGCTTGAGTCGATACTTCAACTTCTATAGGAGTCTTTTTAAACCCTAGTATGTGTACTTCTACTTGAGTAATGAATGTGAATACTTTGGACACCTCTGGAAGCCAAACAGAATTAGAGCTACTTGCTTGTTTGGGCGCATCGAGTGGAAGCGGCCTAATGACAGACGTGGTTTGTGTCTCCACTCTTTATTACATCTTCTCCTGAAGTCAATGTAATTACGCCTGTTTCCTTTTCAGCAAAGCACATGACCGTCCTGTGATTTTATGTCCGCGTGAGTGTTAAATCCCAGCAGAACTTTTGAGTCGGTTTGGAGCGAAATGCAGCCGCTCCCCTGGTTTGTGCTGCTGGCGCTTTGTGCCCCTGAGTTCTGCTGGTCCGGACCTCTCCACGCCCAGTGCAAAGTTGAATGGTATGCTATATTTATGTATTCTACATTCTTTGATACCAGATGTGTTGTATCAGGTTTTCATAGCAAAACTACTTCATATTGTATAACTCACATCTCAAGTTTCTCTTACACATGCACATAAGTTTTAAATGGGTTATTATTTATTGAAAGTAATAAATAAGAAATTAGAATTAGAATTGACCCACTGTATTGACAATTATTTAGTAGCAGTACTTTCTCTACTTGGTAGTTCAGTTTACAATTAGGTGGGCAAAACATTCCTATTCATATTGGTGTGAAGGAAACATGTTTATTTTACTACTTTGTCTCTCACTCTGTAACTGTCTCCTAAGTTAACTAAAAGTCTTAGAAATGATTAATAATTGATCTATTGACAATCAATTATTGAATGATACTTTCAGCCAAAATAACGTGAAAAAGAAGAGTAAAGCCTGTAGAGTTCCTTAACAAACAACAAAGAAACTTTAATGTGTTTTGGTTGCTTCAGGACATTTGACATTTTCAGATAACCTTTCTAAAACAGCTCAAGCTCCAGTGTGAGATTAAATGATGTATTTGTGCAGCTTTTTCTCGAGTTGGTCTTTATTTTAATTTGAATATGATTTCAATTAAATAAATGTTACATTACAGGTCATTTAGCTGACGCTTTTATCCAAAGCGACTTACATTACATACACTTTAAACCCATGGCTTTATACGTTTTGCCCGGAGCAATTAGGGGCGTCTTGCTCAGGGACACTTCGACTTGAGACATGGGGCAGCCGGGACTCGAACCACCAATCTTGCGGTTCCCAGCGCACCCGCTCTGCGCCACAACGACCCAAAACCCCAAAAGTTACAAAATCAAATACAAAACATGTTAATTCAACAATGTAGAAATGATGTTGAGCACACTAATATATGTTGTGTTGTGACTAGAATATGATATGTAGCCTTTAAAGCCTTCCTAATAAAGATGAGATACAGTTGTCGTGAAGCCTCAGACCAACATGTATAGCTAATGTCAACTAGATGGCGCCATTTCCTTTGCAACCTGCAGTGAGCTCTGTGCTTTTCTCACGCAGGTACTTTGGGATACCTTGCAGAGTGGTTTATGAATCCCTGCTCTCACAGATTAACATGTGGAGAACCATGGCTGGCTGCACCATGGGAGGACAGAGGTGTCTGTACAAGGTGTGTGTGTGTGTGTGTGTGTGTGTGTGTGTGTGTGTGTGTGTGTGTGTGTGTGTGTGTGTGTGTGTGTGTGTGTGTGTGTGGATGACAACGATAGTTCCAATTATTGGTCCACACCAAAACAACTAAACACTGTCACATGACTTGCCACAAACTATCTGTGCGAACAAGGCTGTTGCCTGGCAACGCTAATAGCTGAATAGCCACAAACTCTTCTTGTGGTGCCATCACAAGGTCTACATGTATGGTTAATATATTCAGGGTCACTACAGAGTGAACTCCCAAGGCTTTCATGCTACTTTGATGGATTTCTAGGGGAGAAAATATAGTAGCTAGTAAGAAAAGAGGAGAGGAGGCCAAGGATGGGCTTTATGAATACTATGTATATACTAAGTATCCAGACACTAATGAAGGCCACTAAATGCACCCGTTATGCCGGTGGTCCCCAAACATTTGTGAACTTGTGTTATTAAATTGGTAAGACGAGTGTGTTACAGCGAGAAAGGCTGAAGCCCTTCTCTTAAATTGTTTGAATAGGTCACTTTGTTTAAATAATGTGATTAAGGTGGTTGACCGTCAGCGACCTTGTGAGACCATTGCTGTCTGTCTGTGACACACACACACACACACACACACACAGGTTAATTCTTCCCACGTATTTCAGCTGAAGGTTTATTTAGTTAATGTCGTTAGCTTTTCCATCTTTTTAGGAGCATATATAAAAATGAGTCAAATGCCAATGACTTTCAGTTAACTAGTATGTGTTCTCTCTGCAGCTGCAGTCTGCTTCTGTCCACTTCATAGCAGCCAAACACACCACTCCCTTCACGGGGTACGTGGACGACATCAACTACCGGCTGGCCTCCTATCACTTCTTCTCCTGCTGTCACGTTTCCGTAAGTTTTCACTCCCAACTAAAGTGCTGACTCGGGTAATGATGCATGGGTGACGGGAGATCACAGCGTTTTTACTGCAAACCAGACACACCGAGCCAGACCAGGAAGCCAAGTCACATCAAGTGGTTTTGTCATTTGTGAAGAGTAATGAACGGGAACATCACCCAAAGACCTGTGATCTCTTTGTGAAAGGGAGTAAGGAGCAGAATCTCCTCCTGCAGCCCTCTGCTGGCTGCAGGAGAAGCACAGTGTCACTTTCTGCGCAGTCTTTCATTTAACACAGAGCTGTAACTGTCTGCAGGCCATGTCCATCTCTGAGACCTGGTATGCCGTTAAAGACCACGGCACTAACTACTGCAACATCTACAACCTCATCGAAGGTACTACAGAATTATTAGTATTATGCTCAAAGGAAATCAAATCAAATTCATACATGGACCAATTAAGGTTGTGAGAAACAACCTTTTACAAAAGAAAAATTTGATTGAGCACAAAAACCATAATGTTAATATAAAGCAATGTGATGAGAACGAGAGTGGTGATTAGCAGCATTAACCACACAGTCTGATGATCATTATACCGGCGTCTCCTTTGTTGAACAGGAAGTGGTCTAACCGAAGCCAGAGGTTACAGAGAGGTCACCAGTGACTTCCTGTGTACCCAACGCTCCTCTGCTAACTGCACCGTCTACTGACGCAATATTCAGCTTATACATCAACAGTCGACGTGTTCATGCCGCTTGTTACTGTTGTATTTGGGAGTTTGTTCTGTTTACATTAAGGAATAAATACGTAATGAATATACTGTAGAACTGTACCCAATATGGTCATTTAATGTATTTTTACACACCTGCACCTATTCCCACCATGACATGAAATCTGCTGATGAGAGGAGTTTGGCTTTTTCTTTTCGTTCCCTAATCCGCTCGTTCAGTTTTGCTGGAGCATTTTCCATTTCTCTCTCTTTGGAGAAGTTTTACGTTTCCAGGGTCGTGGCTGCGTTTTTTGTTGGACAATAAAAACTTCAACTGAACCTTAACTCTGCGTCCGAGTCCTCACCTTGAGTTCCCCGTGACAAATTCTAATTTATTGTTACATTGAACATCGCAATAATTAAATATAACATCCACATGGTTAAAAAAAAAGTTAAAATACCTAATTATATTAAAAAATACGAAATTAGTACCAGTCACACAGAATTATGTCATTGGTGTTATTGCGGCACAAAACACTTTTATTTTGATTCTTCCTGGATCGAGAGGTCCTTTAAGGAAGCGCAGTGCCTATATGGTTACTTCATTTCTTCAAAACACCATACATGAGAATGTTGAATGAAGCTGTTACATGCCAGACGGGGACGGTCTGCATGTGTTCTTGTCGTTCTCCCTCCTGCTCATTGGTTTCTCTCCCCCAGTGATTATGCTGATTGGCCAACTCCAAACACAGGTGGAAAGCAATCAGCAGTTCCGGTGGCAGTCCATAAAGGAAGACTCCTGAGAAGTGAAATGGGGTGTGTTCTGCGCTGCGGGCTGGTGGCCAGTCTTCCTGTCCGTGAGCTGTAGCTGGCTGCTAGCAAAACTGGAGTTTTGTAAGGTGGAGGTTGAGGACCTTAGTAAGTTGGGGTACCCTGTACATTTTTGCACGTAGGTATACCTTTGTATAGACACACCAGGTGTAGTGATTGTTGCCTCCTGTGTAACGTTTTCCTTTAGTCCTTTTTCAGAGAAGCAGGTAAGGTAATTTGGTTGACTTGTTTTGGATGAAGAGCCAGTGGTGAGCTAGGCCTCGTTTAGTTATATTCATTTCATTTGTTTGGCACAACCTGTAGGTCTCATCTTCCACCATCTCCCTCCTGTTGGGAGCCATCTTTTTGTGTAATAATAAAAACTAGAAAGACCCCTTTTACCCTGACTCTGTCGCCTGTCTTTGATTGTTGTTTTACTGTCCTGGAATCTACAAAAGGGACGTAACAGAAGCTTTTAAGCCTGTCATTTATGTTACTCATTTATTGGTCACAAGGTCCAGAATTGAACATTAAAACTGATTTGGAGTTAGTCACTGGTGTTACTCCTCCTCCTGGTAACACCAGTGGTATCCCTGTATAAATGAGCCACATACAGGAGAAGAAGGTTCTGGAGCTGGAGACCATCTCGAACAGGTTGTCCCTCGTCTTCAGCTCACTGCGCCACACACAGAACCAAGCCGTGTGTCTAAGCCGTTGTTGCTTTAAAGACTTTAAATATTTTTCTTTCTTCAATGCATGTGTGAAATAATTGTAAATCTAAATTGTAGTAACGGCTTGGAGAGCTTTAAAAATGGCTCTGCAGCAGCAGGCTTGTTGGTTGAGAATCTGTCTCCTTTTTATTTTTTTTCACCCTCGTATCGAGGTGGTTTTTCCGAATTACACCGTTCTTGGTTTTTTTCTGTCCACGGCTTTACTTTTTATCAAACATGAAAACCATACGGACCTCAAGTGCTCGATTTTCTCAAATTCATTGTGATGTTTCCATTTTCCCGACACATTCACCTTCTCACATTTTGACTCAAGCCCTTTTTTTTCTTTTCTTGTCTGTCTGTGAACTGAACAAACTAGCCGCGCTGTGCGCCCACACACACAACCAAGCACGCAGACGCTAACAGCACCTACTGAACTGAACAGCAACGGAGCTGAGACCAACACGTACACACACACACACACACACACACAGTTTCCATTTTCCCGACACATTCACCTTCTCACATTTTGACTCGAGCCCTTTTTTTTCTTTCCTACATTCTCTCTTTCTCCCACAATATCTGTCGGTGACTCTGCCAAACCAACGCCTTTCTCCTCTGACAACTTTCTCACCGCGTGTCCCGTGTGACCCACAACATCATTTCTCAGTGGTGTCTCCGCTCACGGCCACCACCAACAGCCTCAGTTGGTCATTTATTATTTTCCATCGATACCCCGGCGCTGGTTCCCAGCCGCCGTCCTCTTCATCAAATTCACCTTCCGTTTAACAGTCAACCAGTTCGTATGTATCTTACCCGGCAGACAGCTATGTTCTGAAAGTTTATACTAACCTTTCAGAGAAAATGTTTGTGTCCACGAGCTTATGTTAGCCTCGCAGAATTAATTTATGCTGAAAGTTTATACTAACCTTCCGGAGTCAATGCGTCTGAGTTTGTTAACCTCTCAGACTCAATTATTAGGTCTGTCTGTGTCAGGGATTGCGGGAGGTAGGACTCAGACGCAGAGTTCAAAAAGAAAAGGGACTTGAATAGTCAAAAGCAAAAACAAAAGGGCAAGGGGCAAAACGGGAGACAGGAACTGCAAACGACGAGAGACAAGGACGCGACAAGTGACAACAGACACACATGGTTTAAATACACTAGGGAGGTGCAGGTGATTGGACACAGGTGGAAACTATTAGACGATCACAGGGGATGACGGGACAAGGCAGGAAGTGAAGTTACCCGGGGACACGAGTGGCAGAAAACTACAAAATATAACATGAAGTGAACCACACCGTGACAGTACCCCCCCTTAAGGGCCGAATTCCAGACGGCTCATACTAGAGCGGACAAGGGCTGGGAGGGAGGGAAACCCGAGACGTTGGTCGGACCACCCGGGAAACTCTGGCGGGCGGCCAAACGACCGGGGAGCCTCTGGGGGTCGGCCTGGCGGACAGGCACACTGCCGGGGAGCCTCCGGGGGTCGGCCCGGCGGACGGTCATTTGGCCGGCTCCGGAGCGGCGACTGCAGGGCATGGAACGTCTCTGGAATGGCAGGCTCTGAGACACTGGAAACCTCCGGGGTAGTCGGCGGTAGCTCGGGGACACGGAACACCTCCGCAGTCGCCGTCGGCTCGGGGACACGGAACACCTCCGCTGTCGTCGGCGGCAGCTCGGGGACACGGAACACCTCCGCGGTCATCGGCGTGAGGATGTAGGAAGCTGGAGTTGCCAGCTGGAGGGAGCGGGAAGCCCCCGGAGTCGCTGTTGCAACCCCTGCCATGACCCCCCCCTCAAGGGCCGGATCCCAGACGGCCCTCAAATCGCCAACGGGAGGGAGGGAGAGGACCACGGGATGGGAGGAAGGGAACCCGAGTCTCGGGGCCGGTACTAGTCAGGTCGGGGGCATGGAACGTGGGGCCGGTACCGGTCGGGTTGGGGGCATGGATCGTGGGGCCGGTACCGGTCGAGTCGGGGGCATGGATCGTGGGGCCGGTACCGGTCGGGTCGGGGGCATGGATCGTGGGGCCGGTACCGGTCGGGTCGGGGGCATGGAACGTGGGGCCGGTACCGGTTGGGTCGGGGGCATGGATCGTGGGGCCGGTACCGGTCGGGTCGGGGGCATGGATTGTGGCGCTGGCTCGGGGATCGGGGGCATAGATCGTGGCGCTGGTTCGGGGATCGGGGGCATGGATCGTGGCGCTGGCTCGGGGATCGGGGGCATGGATCGTGGCGCTGGCTCGGGGGTCGTGGACCTGGATCGGAGCGTCGGCTCGGGGGTCGTGGACCTGGATCGGAGCGTCGGCTCGGGGGTCGTGGACCTGGATCGGAGCGTCGGCTCGGGGGTCGTGGACCTGGATCGGAGCGTCGGCTCGGGGGTCATGGGCTTGGGTCGGGAGGCCGGGACGGGGTGCGCTGCGACCCAGCAGGGTCGGGATGTTGCTGCGGCCCAGCGCTGGACACTGTGCGCTGCGGCCGAGCGTGGGGACCGTAGGTAGCCTGGAGCCGGACCGCAAGGTCCATCACCCGCTCCCAGGAAGAATCGCCGCCGGACGACCACAAAATGGCCTCCTCCTCTGGGGACCATGTGGTGTGCGGCGGATGGTGACCCAGATGCCTACTGAGGGCTCCAGATGGGGAGACGGAGTAGTACAGGTACCCAGCTGGAACCCCCGGGAGGACCTTTCCCCCATTATGGGCAGCCCGCTGGAGACTGCGTGGACCGCCCATTGCCAGACGGGTTCCCCTGAACTCGTCCAGGGAAAAAACTCTGCTGAGTCCTTTCTTGGTCGCGTCATTCTGTCAGAGACAAGGACATGCGTGGCGAAAGACAATGACGCGACAAGTGACAACAGACACACATGGTTTAAATACACTAGGGAGGTGCAGGTGATTGGACACAGGTGGAAACTATTAGACGATCACAGGGGATGACCGGACAAGGCAGGAAGTGAAGTTACCCGGGGACACGAGTGGCAGAAAACTACAAAATATAACAGAACATACTTCCAAAACTTATTTCTTAGTGTGCATTTCTCAACACATTTCATTTATCTATTCAAACACTCCTCTCTCTCCCCCTCCACACTCCCAAAGCGCGCTGTTTAATCAAACACGGTTTTTAAGGAACTCTAACCTCGGGTCACCGACCCGCAGCCTTTCGGGGCTCCAGATCCCCAGGACACCACACTTGGCGAAATCAGCCCTCGTCAGGGTCTGAGGGGGTCACCAAACCAGAGACCAGGATATTGACTCCAAATCAATTCGCTTGATTCATGCTGGATTCTAGATCCCTTGATACTCGCAGGTATCCACTAAACCATTGTGAATTCATTTATTCCCAAACTTCAGCGCCCTTCGATTCCTTTGATTCATGCCGGATACTCGATCCCTTGGTGCTCGCACGAACCCACTAAACAACAGTAGTTATTTCTTCTTTAGTCCAGAACTTCAGTCCCTTTGGGGGCTCGGCAGGTGTTTCCAGCCGGTAAAGGGAACAGTTTTGACCGCGCGCTGGTTAGTGTCACGTGATGCTCCGGGTGGATGAATGGTGAACGTGTGACGGGAGTAAACTGGCAAATAAGTGGACTTGTTTACAACAACACAAAGGCTACAGGACTCTCATTCATCCGTCATGAGAAAACAGCGGCGCGTCAATGAGGGTTTCCGGACAAAATGCCTCAGTGGCTTAAAGCGTTTGCTTAGCATCTACAGATTAGTGTGTCTTTGTGTACATCTACATGTTAGTTTGTCTCTGAGTACGTGTGTGTGTGAGTGTGTGTGTGTTGTGCGCTCATCTGAGTCATGCGTAGATCTGGAGCT